ATTTATTAGTTGAACACATTAGTTGTAGAGTATCAAGCTCATATAAATAGCAAAGTAAATTAATATTGATCATCCGAAATTGCAATGGCTTCCTCAACACTTTGGCCACCCGTCTGCTCTCTCCTAGTCAATCAACTCATTAGAAGGTTAGCCTTTTTGTCTTTTTTGGAAGGTAGCCTAGCTAGTGTTGTTGTTGTTGTAGTAGTTTTTGGTATTTTGTATTTTTTTTATAAAGCGACTTTTCCACTTACATCAACAAAAGACTGTGCCAAAAATTGAGGGTAGAGTGTAATGAAGTTATCAAAGGGATGCTTGGCGCTATGTGTATGTGATCAATTATAATAATTTCCTCTTACATATCCTACATTTTAAGAAAATCTTCTCCTCATAACAGCGAAGGAATAAAAGTTGTTTCTTTGTTCAGTTATAGGGGAAAATCTTATTTTGAAGATAAGTAGGATAACAAGCTCATTGCTACAGTTGTTGTTGTTGTTGTTTTTTTTTTAATTTGGAAATGTGTGGGTACAGGAGTGTGTACAGGAATAAACAGGTAAGCTCAGTATCAGTTAGTTTGAGATTCGTTGGCAGGTTTCCAAAAAGGACCTCAAGTTACAAAAACCTTTTTTACAAATTAAATGTAATGTTATCTAGTCTAAAGGCTTATAAATCCGTTTTATTCTCGTTCAGACGAGAATGTCAATAGAGTTCTAAAGTGTTAACATTATAACTGAAAGAACAACGTCAAAGATGCCTATTAGCCCGGGAGGGGGGGGGGGGGGTACTTTAGGACTTTTTGGGTGGGGCCGCTGGAACCCTGAAACCCTTAGCCTATACCAGAGTTAGTTCAAGTGAATTTTGCTACCCTATACTAGACTAAACTCCCCAAATCCCCCCTATCCTAGAGTATCTGTTTTCCAGAATCAACTGAGGTCACTAGCACAGTCCAGCCAAAACTGATTTCATTTTTTTATATTCTTGAGTGGCAATTCCCGGTTTCCCTAGTCTAGACTAAAATCTTCAGCCAATTGATCAGTTTCCTGGAAAAAGATACCCTCTTCTAGACCCAAACTCCCTGATTTATATACCCTATCCCAGAGTAAAACAGCTTGAAAACCATACCCTTTACAGCGGCACATACCTATATAGCCCAAATATGGCAGTAATTATAACTATATTATATTCAACACATTCATGATCATCATCACTTCCTTTTTCCAAAATGTAATACAAGGCAGGAAATCATCCTCAGTCTCTAACAGTCTCTATCCAGGACAACGATTTAGGTTTCAGCCTAACTGACCTCACTACTAGCTCGCCAAAATCAGCGTCAGTTATTCTGCCCGCTAACGCATTGCCAACCCCGGGTTGCCAACATAAGATCATTCCTCTCATTATCAGTTATGGCTCATTCGCTATAATCACTTTGTAAGTAATGGTAACAGGACTGAGTGGAGTCTAATTCGGTCTGTAATCATACGAGTGATTAACAAAATCGGACGACCGCGTAGCGGGAGTCCGATTTGTTTAATCACGAGTATGATTACAGACTGAATTGGACGACACGAAGTTCTGTTACCAATTAGTCATAACTTTAACAAAACTTTTGATACAATAGGCTATTTTTTAAACCAAAACCCAAGAAATTCGAAATTTTGTTGTGCTAACAGTGAAAAAAAAAAAGCCATTTAAGCGCGCGCGTGATGGCGCGTACTGTCCAATTACTTAGGCATGACGCGTACTGTCCTATTAAACTGTCCAATTAAGGCTGAAATCAGGGCAGTTGAGAGCCAATCATATTTGACAATTTTGTTATAGTTATGATTAAGCTTGAAATACTGTCTTTCGTTTGTACCCTTTACTAAGAACGGTACATTCAAACGTATTCTACGCAGTGTAACAGGGATTGAATGGTTAAAACGTATAACTGCAGTAGTGCTGTAACATGTATCTTTTGTGATGCAGCAACGGTTATAAATAAAGATTGCGGAGTTTTAATTTATTTGGAGATATTTTTATTGTACCTTTTTTGGGTTCAGCCTTGGGATATTTGACAGCAATGTGCAGCCCGGGGTGGGGAAATTTGGCTGCAATTGACTGGAATGATTTGCCCGTGGGCAGGAATTTGACGGCAAAATTTTTGAAAAATGTCAAATCCCCACCCCCTACCCTGCCTCCCCCTCCCCCGCCGGCTTAACATTGATAGGTGCATAATCGACAAGTTCCCGTCATCTGTTCACAGTTCACACTACACACCTGGGTTTGACATGTGTCCATGTAGCCTGACGTTTGGGAATGACAATCGTTGTGTTGTTGTTGTTATTATTATTACTATTATTATTTTTTTACCTCAACTGCTGTTTCCTGAGTCATCAGCGTTTTCCTCGGAAAATTTCAAATTTTTGAAGAGTTGGGGGCGCTGCCCCCCTCCTACGCCCCGGCCCGTACGCCTTTGGTCTTGACTCAGTAGCTTGCACGATGCAGTCTCAGTTTTTTGTTGTTTTGTTTTTTTTGGTCCTGTTTCGTGCGAGATGGGCCATTCAACGGACGATGGTGCTAAATAATCTAAACATCACTTTTCGTTAAACAACTGGCTTGAAACATTTCATTTTTTTACGCGGCCCCTTTAAAGAAGCGTACGCATCCCGATATTGTCTAATATCAGAAACATAACACGGATTCGACGGATTGCCGATCTCATTCAGATTAGCCGTCATCTTAATATGGTCGCTGAAGTTCAAATTTTGATATTATTTAATATTTTATAACGAACCCAATACAAATGTTGTCATTTAGTTGTATAGATAATTTGTAGCGTATCAAACGCATATAGCAAAGTAAATTGATCATTGTTGAAAATTGGTCACCGGCCAGTTCGCTCCAAGTCAACTCAGCAGGAGGTGGCTAGCTAATGTTTTTTCTTTTTTGTTTTCTTACATCAACAAAAAACTGGGCCAAAAATTGAGGGTAGAGCGTAATGAAATTTTCAAAGGGATGCTTGGCGCCATGTGATCAATATTGATTTCTTCTTACATATTATCCTAAATTTTAAGAAAATCTTCCCCAAATAACATACGAAACCAAAAGTTATTCCTTTGTTCAATTAAGTGGGAAAAATTATATTTTGAAGATAAGCAAGATAACAAGCTCATTGCTATAGTTGAGTTTCTCTTTTGTTATTTCAAATGAATAGAGAATTAATTATCAATGATAGTTTTTTTAAAAATGATATCCAGCCAGGATAGGCTTATGGAGGGTGTATAGATTGAAGTAAGCAATGAGTTTGAGATTCAATGGCAAGTTTGCAAAAAGCTACGATCTCAAGTTACACAGTCAAACTCTTTAATAAATTAATATGTAAAATGTTATTTAGTCTCAAAGCTTAATATCCGTTTTATTATTTTTTTTCAGAGACTGTTGATTGCAAATTACGATACATTTTTCTCTTTCGTATTCAGATAATTAATGCTTTTAGAATTTCTGAAAATATTTGCTCAAGCATACAGATCGAAATTTAAAATCGTGAACGTTTGGAAGACGTTTCCACATGATGATAACTAAGTTTCTTCAATTACTTACATATTCATCAACTTTTCATTTTGTTATCGATGATTTCTACTACCAAAACCGAGCAATTTTAGCTCGATCGAACAACTCTTTCACAATTTATGAAGTACTTTTAAATTTTGCTTATGCTTCCTAGACGTACTTAAGCATGCGTAATTGACTCTAAACCAGCAAAGCCTTTAATTTAGTTAATTGTTGTGACCAGAGCAACTAAACTTTATCGATGAATCATCTGTTTCGTTGAAGGACTTACTTGATTGGGCACTGCATAATATTTTACTATACCACACCTCTTTCATGAAACTCGTAGCAAAACTCGTTTTGTTTCATTTTGTTTCATTTGTGTTCCTCTTTTTTTTCTTTTTTTTATCATCTATAAAAACGCCATAGAGTTAAGAAAGTATTGGCGGACATAATGCTCTGACTAATTATGTTCCAATGCCAAATGATAAAGCTAGTAAACAATATATATATATATCTACTTAATTGTACACGGTAGTGGAAGTTCAAGCCTAATTTGACGTAAAATATGCATGGTGTTCATTATGGAGCCAAAACGTTTTATCTTATTATAGGAAATTAACGTTCCATGAAATTAGCGAATAGAGAGGAGATGTGTTTACGTCACGTTGCCATGGCAGCAACACTTCTGGATGACAACAAACCGAAAACGTCCCTTAAAAAGTGAAATCGCACTGTTTCAAACTTTATCGATCTTAATTATTTCCATTTCATATGTGAAATGTTTGTGAAATTTTCTGGGGTTGAATCCGAGAAGACAGTACCTAAGTTTAGAAAAAAGAAAATTTTTGTATCGTGTTCAACTTCTTCATAAAGAGGGCGCGTGAAATTAGGAAGTTTCGTGTCGAAGTAGTGCAACGACGGCTAAGAAATGTACAAAACAGCGTGATGCACGTGCAAAGTTGTTGTTGTTTAATATAAACATATTATATTTTGCCGTTCTCCTTGCCGTCGCCGTCGTCGTTGGTTTTGTTGTCATCCAGTAATAGTGCTACCATGGTAACGTGACGTCACACTTCTCTCGATTGAAAATGAACCCAATGAATTATACAAAATACGAAGAGAATGTTAAGTAGACGAAAAAAAAAAAACACTAAGTAGATTTATGTCGCCCTATCTAAGGGAATCTGGATTCCGGAATCCAAGACAATTTTGCTTGTGGAATCAAGAATCCAGGAAATTCTTGTTTGTGGAATCGGAAATCCTGGGTTTTAGAAAACGGAATACAGCTCAAGGAATCCGGAATCCACTAATGATTGCAATCGGGAATCCATTACCCAACTTCCACTGACAATTAAGAATCTGGAATCCAGTATCTGGAATCCGGAATCCAAGGCGTGGAATCCAGAATCTCAGGCTGTCTTGGATTCCATTACTTGCGGCGATTTATGAATGATTTCTATAGATTTGGACGA